ATGCTGCCATATGCTTGTGTGTCAACTATGTGTGCATCCAAACCACGCCTGGGTCTATTTATGCAGGAGACAAAATCACAGGAAATACAGATCTAAGATGGACAGTCCGTCGTTTGCATGGCCAATTGCTCTTAAATATCCGCTCTACGACTTGCAATAGAACAATTCACCCAACTGTGCTGAAGCATTAAAGGAGGACAATATTTATGCATGAGGTATTTGGGTCACAGTGTGCTTGGGAGGTCCACGGCGAACAATTTCGGGTCGAGACGGCACATGAATTCCACTACAGTACAAGGGGTGATGACAGACGGGGCCAAGCTGTGACAACAAGTAAAAATCGACCGAGCGACCTCTGCACTAGGGAGGCATTTGATGTCAATCGACAGATCTGTTTGGAAGTGTGAATTCCATTCCCATTACTTTCCCAAACGTTGATGTGCCATAGACGCAACACTAAAAGATAGCCACTGTAATAGGGGTGTGGCACAGACAGCTTTAGACAACTCTACAAGCATTTCTCTCTATGCACACTTCAGATAGCTCATCGTTCTTGACTATTTTTCCTTCTTTCCAACTGAATGTATTCTTAGCTGCACATTTCAGTCTTTTTCTGCATGCGATCCTGCACGTGCTACTCTCAGACTGGCTTTTCTCCAACCTCTTAGATCTTACTAAGAGCTGGATGCGGTTTCCTTAACATGCTGGATGGAAACCACAACCCACCTACTTCTCATTCAACCTTGCTTAGGGAATCTAAAAGGGTGTCCTAAAGCTCTCCCCCAAACCTCAGCCGAAAGGGCTTCCTTTGAAAAGAAACAAAGGCACACCCGCCACCAGCCGAGCCGAGTGGGAGCTGCATTCGACCGTCTCCGAACAGCTATTTCCAGCATGTTTTACTATAAAACAGATCAAATTAGGTGCATTGTGATGTCATATAAATATGTTATAATCAGATGGGTGGGGAAGGATGATAATGTCTATTCTTTTGTGACTCTACAGACAACTATTTCAAAACATGGCTTTACCAAATGCAAAAATACATAGATGTGGGCCATGCAGATTTGATCAATTAAACCCACTGCCTCGAGGAAGGAAATTTGCTCATTTTCCCCCCAGGTTTGCCATGCGTTTTTCCATTATCCTGTACCGCTCCCTCAAACACGATGTGTTCGCGTCAGTCACATTGGTCAAATACAGACAGCCGGTTTCTCACAACTGCTTGTTTTAGTGCAATTATTCAATAAACTTTGGAATGCTGTGGTTTATTCGCTACACATTGTAACAAGCCGTGTAGGAACGCTTTACGCGAGCGACGCGACGCGACCAGAACGCGGGTTAGCGGCATAAGCAGCTTCATTAATGATAAAGGGAGCGTTCAGGTTTTGTTGCGTCGCGTTCATAGATGGGGTGTGAATCTCATAACAGTCCTAGAACGCAATGCCGTGCTGCAGTACTGCTTCAAGACATAAATTAAAGACTTTGGCAGCTTAATTTCGCTAAAACATCACACGTTTACCGGCTCCAAGCACCTGAGCAACGTAATGTAACGTAGCTACGCGGAGCAGGGGATCAGCGAGCGTTGCGTTTAGTTCGGATCAGCGTTCATGAGCATTGCAAATCAAATAAATTTATTCTCACACTATTTTAAATAGTACTAAACATGCTTTACTCTTAGCAAATAATTATAGAAGATATTCCATAACTCACGGTTATGCGGGGAATATTCTTCTTGCCCTGATAGCCAGACATCTTCTTTATGCTCTATTCCCTCTGATGAACCGCTATCACTGTGATGCAACGATCTGTTTGGGAGGGGAAATGGCTTGGTTTAGGACAATTTGTGTAGTCCTTTAGGAATTAAGAGGCGAACGGAGGAGGTAAAAGCGCTAGAAATGTAAAAGACAAAGGACCTGTGCCCAATATCTCCTCTCCACTGATGCACCCAATCCACCCAGCCCGTCTGAGACAAAACGAGAGATTTTCATAGCGGAGTGTAGCGCGCATGCGCACAACCCCGCCCTGGATAGCCTGCAGCTCCTCCTCTGAGTCCAGAGAGGGTGACCAGTGTTTCAACCAATGGTTGTAATGGCACACTGATCAGCGTTTGCATGATCTGATCGAAACTGCCGAAAACTGCAATGATTAATAAACAATTTGTATGCAAACAATTATGCAGATTGATGACATGTTATTACACACACATATGAAAAAATTAAATATATATGAAAAAAAATTAAAAGGCAGACATTTCTTGGCAAATGTAGTTGTAAAGCAACTTTGTTTTATTATTAATTGTTCATAATATATTATGTATAAATATTAACATTTCTTTAATAAACATTTGATCAGTTTTGATCTGATCTTGAAAAAAATTAATTCATTAATTAATTTTAAAAAAATTATATATATATATATATATATATATATATATATATAAAAAAATATAGAAGGAGAATAACGTGGAAAATAAATTTAATAAAGACGCCTCAGGCTGTTCACCTTGGCAGCCTGAAAACAAGAGTTGCTGTAAATAAGAGCAGTGCGTTCAAGGGTCCGGGGCAAATTTAAAGTAGGCTACTCTTCTCGTGAAAACCAATAGTTCAACCTGATTTGTTTTTTTCCCCCCACTGACTCTATAGCGGACATTACCGCAGACGCGTCAAAATACACCAAAGATATCGACACTGCAGACTTTCGGTTCAAACAAAACGAAACCAAATGGCGCTCAAAGGCGAAAACAGGACGTGAGGTTTTGCACGGTCCCTAACCTCAACGCTGCAGCAGTCCCGTTTGACAATCAGCTGATGAGAGCTCCCCTCCCCCAAAACAAATCAAGCAACAACAAAAAATAATAATACACCACCTTTTAGAAGCAGAAATGTCTATTTAATTTTAAAAAAATTATATATATATATATATATATATATATATATATATAAACAAAAATTTTATGCAAAGGCTTGTTTTATTCAAATAAAGTAACCCTAAGAAAACCTCTTGATATTCATGATGCAAGCATTTTTGTCAAATAATTTTTACTTTGAATATTATGTTTGAAAATAAATGGTTCGACAAGTTTTGCAAATAAATGTGACTTAACTGTGTGTCTACAAAGATGTTCAAATGATCTTTATATATCACTACTAACATAAAAAAGACACTCAAGGCACTATTTGGTGTTTCTTAGATTGTCATTGAGTAACAAAACAATATATGTTTGCAAAATTTTTAGCTCTAGCATTTCAGAAGAGTATGTAATACCACAATTAATGCCTTCTTAAAGTTAATCTTTGCCCCAAATCTTAGTTTATATCATACGCAAACACTACAACTCAATATCCAGGTCCTTCTGGCTGCTTTGGTCTCAATGCAGTAGACCTAAACATGCTATTGATTGCTGCAGTCAGTAAGGCCACTTAGTGAAGAAAAAAAAGCATAAGAGTGGCTTTAAATCACACTTGCCAAACATAGAACAATTTCCTTTTTGGTAGACTGAGTGACAGAGTGTTTTATTGACTGTATCATGTTACCATGTATAAAAGCCCTGTCATATCAACTGACTAACAACATTCAGTGAAATGGCTATAATTTTCTCTTCTATAACTTATGTGAAAAAGGAGAGTAATTCTGAATATAATTCTGAGCTGAGGTAATTAACTCTTATGAGCCTTTTAACAGGTCCCAGGTTATTGCTCTTAAAGCCCTAGTAGGGCATACTTCAATCATAGCTCAGCATCACTGTCTCTGTAGCTATGGTTACCGCATCCAGATACCAAGGCCCACACATACAGCCTTTTGAATTATTGGGCTCTTAGGAACAAGAACTGGACTGTGAAAAAAACATATTAGATATTTTAATCAGCTTCATTTCGTACAGTTTGTACATTTTCAAATTATCTGTTGCTAGAAGGGCTGAGCTTATTTCTAAATTCATTTCGCAAGGTATAATGACAAGAAGGTTTATGTATCCTTGACCCCTTTTTTCTGTGAGAACAGCAAATATTCAAGCCTTAAAATAATTAATGATTTTATTCAACCGCAACAACCTTAAAAATAAATACGAAATACGACAAATAGCACAGTCAGTTGGTAATTATCACAAAATAAACCCAGATAGGGTGATCAGAATTTGCATCATCCTGAGTGGGGGTATTTTATGATTAATGATCATCACTGGACATTATTTCATATATTTCTGCTTACTAAATAAATGGACAGTGAGTTGAAATTATTTTGTCATATGAGAATAAAGAGAGTGCAGAGAGATACGACTATGAAACTAACAGTTTAGGAGATTGATTGCTGGGGAAAAAGTCAAATATAAAGTTTAGAGGCTATACATAAATATTTGACAACAGAACTCTGACTGACCAATCAGAATCAAGCATTCTGCAAATTATTAGCTGTGTAATATGGACTGCAAATTAGTAGAACAAAAAAAAA